TTGACCTCATACTCGGTATGGATTGGCGAACACGTTACCGTGCTCATATTTGTTGTCATGACCGAGAGGTAATTCTTTATCTTTCGGAGGAGGATCAAATTTCTTTCTACGGCTCAAAGACGCGAATGTTGCCTCGGGTAATTTCTATGGTGAAGGCAAGGAAGATTATAAGACGGGAGGATTGTCAAGGATATTTGGTGAGTATTGTTGATGAAAATTCGAGAGCACAAACACCTTATGATGTTCCAATTGTTCGTGAGTTTGTGGATGTGTTCCCGGACCAATTACCAAAAAGACCACCCAACATGCAAGTGGAGTTCACAATCGATCTTGTTCCTGGAGCAGCGCCTGTGTCAAAGGCACCATATTGGATGGCACCAAAAGAATTGCAAGAGTTAAAAACTCAAATTCAAGAGTTGTTGAAACTTGGTTTCATTAGACCAAGTGTTTCGCCTTGGGGAGCACCTGTATTGTTTGTCAAGAAGAAGGATGGTTCCATGAGAATGTGTATCGATTATCGGGATTTAAACCGGTTAACGATAAAGAATAAATATCCGCTCCCAAGGATAGATGATTTGTTTGATCAGTTGAGAGGGGCTTGCGTATTTTCAAATATAGATTTACGCTCAGGATATCATCAACTAAAGATTAAGGAATCTGACATAGCTAAAACTGCGTTTCAGACAAGATACGGTCACTACGAGTTTGTGGTGATGCCGTTTGGGGTAAGTAATGCACCAGCGGTGTTCATGGACTTGATGAACCGTGTTTTCCACAAGTATTTAGATCAATTTGTCATCGTTTTTATTGATGATATTTTGGTCTACTCCAAGAGTCAAGAAGAGCATGAGCAACATTTAAGGGTTGTTCTCAGTACCCTTAGAAAGGAGAAGTTGTATGCCAAATTCTCTAAGTGTGAGTTTTGGCTGAAGAAAGTGGCATTCTTAGGCCATATTATCACTGAGAGAGGTGTAGAAGTGGATCCAAAAAAGATAGCTGCAATTCAGAATTGGTCAGTACCAAAGAACCCATCAGAAGTTCGAA